TTACTGCTTATTTTATGTATTGTACAGTGTTCCTCGAGTGCCCAGAGAGGCGCCTTTAAATAAAATGTATTATTATTATTATTATTATTATTACTACACACACACACACACAGAAAATCAACTTCAAACACTATATTCAGGGTTTCTGCAGGTTTCAAATGGTTCAATTTGAGACTTTTTGAGACCTTTTTAAGACCCTTATGAAAGCAGTTTAAAGGACCAGTGTGTAGGATTTAGTGGCATCTGGCAGTGTAGTTGCAGATTGCAACTCACTCTCTTCATCCTCCATTTCAAAGCATACAGGGGAAACAACGGTGATCTGTATTTAATTTGTCCCTTTTGGGCTACAGTAGAAACATTGTGGTTCAACATGGCTGTTGTATCTGTTGTATCTTTAATTTGACTCGCCATGCAAATACCTAGTGAAGTATACCGATAACCAGCTAACCAGGGTGAATAAACAAATGCAGAAATGTGTTCTTCTTAGTAGAGGCATTTCTTCAAACGCATCAAAGGTCATATGATGTAGATATGTTTTAGTGTGCTTCTCTGTGCATCTCCCATAGGCTTCAATGGAACTTGAACCAAACAGTATTAGAATGCAGTGCTGTAGTACTCAAGTCCAGTCTCGGTCTCGGACTCAAGACGTTTTTTCCTCTTGTATCCTCTTGTATTCGAGAAATTCCCTGAATGGTAAACCACTTACGAAGGATCACACATAAATGTGATGGCTCAGACGCTGAAGCAGCTACAGAGACGGAAACAGGCTCATGTCAGATTATGTGCCCTAAACCTGAGGGTTTATCAATACTGTAGCAATAAAATAACTTGTCACACAGCAATTCACAGTTATACTTTTCTGAAATGAGTTTAAGAGGACCTTCAGGATAATTCTGTGTTTTATTTTACTGTTATACATAACTATTAATGGTGTAGCTTACTGTTCTGTTGTGCTCCCTTTCCTCAACCTAATAATTCAGTGAGTGATTTCAATAGTGATGATTTGGATGCATTGCATTCTGGTTGACTGAGGCTACCGACTGACAAAGAGGCTGATTTCCCTGTGTGTTATTTCTTGAAAAATCATTAAAAAAAAAGTTTTCTCCTATCACCAGTGCCGCTTGATTTAAAGTGTGAACACACCCATGAAACATTTATCACTTTGTATGTGTGTGTGTGGGTGTGAGAGAAAGGGTCCAATCAGACTGTAAAGAGCACTTATGAGCTGCCTTTAGACCTAGTTTAGGCTTTGTTAGTCTGGTTTATGTTGTGTCTTCCATAGCCAGCACCATCTTTACGATCTGATCTGTGTAGACATGAGCATGGCTGTATTGTTGTGTGTCATTAAGAGAAACCTGATATCACTTTGTATTAGAGACATGTCTGAAAGTCACTCAGCTATGTCAGATGATAAAATCCCAGCTTGTGTCAGTACCCCGCAGACCGGGAGCCTCAATAAGGTAATAGCGTTTTGTATGTCCGTTGTTGCCCCTCACTGCTCCTGGTCCTCCTCTGGCTCCCTGAGGCCCTGACTGTGCAGAGTCTTCCCTGCCATCTCCATCATCGCCTGGACCTCTGGATCTACATCCAGGACGCTCCTCTTGCCCTCCCCCTCCTCACCCTGAAACACAAAACATACAGAAATATCATGGCTTTATTTCTTCATATTATAAAGGAAACAGCTGTATTATGTAAAAAAGCTAGGATGCAAATGAGGTTCTCTATTTGTGGTACAGTTGGTACAGCTAATTACATGCCTGATGCCTGATGCGCATGCATTCATCCTTTGACCAAATTCTAAAAAAAAACGGGTGTCAAATTTTGTTATAATTGACCCTTCCTAGGTCCCGCCCCTTTTTGCTCTGTGCTCCAATAACAGTAGAGCAAGTCTCAGACAGAACCTTTGTCAGCTTTCTCCTTTCCTGTACTTAGATATGTTATGTGCAAGGCTAAACTATGTTGAAAACACAACCACATTTTGAAGATGGTTAAAAGATAAAAGCGACATATAGTCACATTTTAAGTGAGCGAATTTTAACAAACGCTAGCTAACTAGCTAGCTAATCTACATTAATTGTTAGCTTGCTAGTTAAATCACAAAGTCAATGTTAGCAAAATGATTGCTAATTATCTAGCTAATTTACATCAATCATTAGTTTGCTATTGTTTTGCTAACATTAGCTAACTCTAAAAATGTGACCTTATGTCGTTTTTATCTCTTAACAGGATGTGTGTACCATTTAGGAGGATCTAATTGGCAAGAAAATAGAAATAATATTCATGGTATGTTTTTATTAGTGTATAGTCACCTGAATATAGGAATCGTTGTGTTTTTGTTACCTTTAGAATGGCATGTTACACTTAGGGAGCAGGTCTTCTTCTACGGAGGCTGCCATGTTGGACCACCATGTTTCTACAGTAGCTAAATGCCAATAAATCTGACACACTGGTCCTTTAACCATCTTCAAAAGGTGGTTTTCTTTTCAATATAGACGAGCCTAACGCATAGCATATGGTACAGAAAAGAGGTAAGCTGACTGAGTTTCTGATAATGGCTTGCTCCACTGTTACTGGAGCACAGAGCAAAAAGGGGTCGGACTTAAGAATGGTCCTTTGTAGTGGCTTTCAGTGTATTTCAAACACCCTCTAATGGAGCACTTGAATGCAGCATCATTTAATATTTAAAAAAAAGATTAAGACCTGAAAGACTTACTCCAGCCTGTATACTACAGAAAAGGCATAAAAATGCTCCGCCTGTGGCTGCACCTACATCTGTCTGTCTTTCCCTTTCATTCCCACAGCTCCTCCAGATCCTGTGAGTGTCTGACTACCCAGCAGATGGCCGTGCTGTTTTCTTCGTGTGTGTACCCCACTGTAGCAGCACTAGCCACTTGTATACAGTTTGAGCCTGTGGTTGTGAGTTTCTCCCTGTGTAATGTGTTGAATTATATCAAGCAAGATCGTATTGGAAAACAACATGGATCTTCCTTGACATCCTCAGAATACATAGAGAATTGGGATAGGTATCTTGCTGAATAGTTAGCATACCACATAACTTCAATGTACGGGGTTTGACTGCAGCCAGGGACCTTTGCTGCATGTCGTACTCTCCTCTCCTCTTGTTTCCTGTCTGCCTCTATTGTCAGCTATCAAATAAAGTTTTTTAAAAAGCCAGAGAGAATAGAAGAGCAAGTACTCTGACCTCCTCTGGTTCTGGGGGTTTTCCGACCACCCACACTTCCATTGAGTCCAGGGTGAAGTCTTCCTCTCCAGAGAGCTGAGGACTACCGTAGGTGGTGCACTTGGGCCGCGCACGGCTGTGACCATGGCCAAATTCACTGTCCAGCCACAGACCAAAGTAGCCGTGCTGACCACCCATGCCCTGATGAGGACCGGAAAATATGACCATATGAAATAAGAGACACGAAAAGAATGAAGACACGCATGTAATAAGAGTTGTGATAAGTCTGTTTTTAGGGTTTTTTAGCTCTGTTTTGGTCTCCACCAACTTCTAAGAAGAAGACCGGCTAGCTGTATGGTGCTGTTTTAGATGATTATTGCAACACTAATTGGTCAAACAGTACCTTGTTTGTTCACTGGAAATTAGGGCCTCTAAATAATATAAACAATACTGTATATAAGAAATTAAAAACTAAATAGACTTGTTACATATTTTTTATTACTATAATGTCATTGTACTATAATGATGCACCCCTATCAACCCTATTTAAGCTCTATGTGGAAATTTAATTTTATCTATGTGGACTTAAAGTTCCCCTCTGCTGAACTAGTGTGGTCTCACCAGTCCGTTGGGCATGGTCTGCTGATTCTGGTTGAGGTACATGAAGTGTTGGTTGTATCCTGTTGCTGTATAAACTCTCAGTCTGGGGAACACAGTGAACAGGAAGCATCTGGAGTCACCTGCACACACACAAATATACAAATGATGAAGATCTGAGTGAAAAATCAAGTGACAGCCCACACTATTCAAACAAGTAGTATTACTTCCTCAATGTGTCTCTTTTATCAGCGCTTTAATATTAGTCTTCATCTGTGGTGTGGCCCATGCCAACAGGACAGTACTGTACAACACTGTGGATTCCCTGTTATCTGTTTGAGACAACACATTTATTCCAATGTGGAGTCTGTGAAGCTTTGTCATCATGTGATACGAGTTATTTGGACAAATCTCCCTGTTCTTCATTCAGCAGAACTGAATCAACAGTTTCACGACCAGTTCAACTGCTGTTACATTTTAAATCAGCCGTAAGTCTTAATACCTCAGGCAGTAGTTCCCAAAGTGGCTACTGCAGCACCCCGGCGGTTGGATTTTTTCCAACATTGAAGAATAAGGTAGCATTTACATGAACTACATTTTTATGTTTGGATTTTTAAATGTATCAAAATAAGCAAAAATAATAAGCAGTTACTCGTTACCGATGGCAAATCATGACCATAGCATGCAATGGAAAAATGTAACTTTAATACAGCTTAAATACAGCCTTTATTTGATTTTTATTTGTTTACTTTTACAAAGACAGCACAAAATTAAAGGTTATCTGTTATCCTACAGTCTGATACAATTGAACCTGCCTGCTAAAAGTGGGGTGCCTTGAAAAGAATCTTATGGAGGGGGGCCATTTGAGTACCACTGACCTAAGGTACATTGGTGATCTACAATATTGTTGTTAGCACAAAGATCAGTTTTAGTGATGCCACACAATCAGAGTATTACAGAAATGTTGGATACATGAAAATGTAGTCTTTATTCTTCATTTCTCATGTTTCAGTTCCAGTGCACTGATGATATGCACGCTTGTTTACTGATGCACCTAAATGTAATCCTAAAACCCGGAACTGAAGTTCCCTCGTGTCAAAGTCAACAGGTTTTTGGCTAGATGCCTAAAAATAAACCCAGTGATTTTTGTTATGGAACATAAAATATGTCCTCCCTGTAGCACTCTATAGGAAAGATACAATGATGACACTTCAAGCCAAAGCTGAATGTACAAAGCTTAACCCTAAGGCTAACGCAGTCTTCACTTTTAGTTGCTAATATACTATGGTAGCTCCACGGCTCCAGCTGTCACTGGTTACATGTTGTGCTAAAGGAAGCCTATCTCATTAGTTATACCAATAATGACAATAATCAAAACTAAAACTACACTATAACATTGTATATTATTATTGATATACATTTAGCACCTAGCATAGAATTTCAAATGCGTGCAGCATTGATTGACTTGCTAAAATGCAAGTCATGTAGGCTAATGTTAGTGTGTGTTCTGGAGAATCATTGAAGGCAGCTGATAAACTAGAGATGGCATCCATCAAATAGCAAATTAGGTCTATAAGTCATACAACATGAAAGAGCTAGTCCCATCTCTCACCCTGGAACTGGGGTTTGACCTCCCAGGCATGGGAGGCGAAGCCCCCAAAAACATGTCCCTTTGTGTCTCTGATAAGCAGCAGGGTGGGCCCACGCTTCATTAGTCCAGCCACCATCCTGGTGAAGCTCTCCCCATGCAGCCGCGTGGAAAACATGAGTCTCCAGGGGGCGCTATAGCTGTCTGGCAACTGGAGAGATGAACAGAGAGTTTTTAAATAATATAATAGTATTGCTTAAAAAATTACAATTGTAGTACTAATACCAGTACCCTGAAAGGGCTACCAATAGAGTACTTCATTCGATGCTTTTTTCTTCTGCTTAATTATATACCCAAAATGTGAATGGAAGCATTCAGTTGCGTAAAATGCCACTGCTCCTCCCCACAGCCATCTTGGCATGCTGAACTGCTAACTCCGTCAAATACTCCTTCACTTCCACTTCACCACCACAGACTGTAGCTGCTTGTTGCTAAGTGTAGCTGCTGCAATGGGCCATTCACACGTTGCATTTTGCAGTGATTGGCTGCGAGCAAATATATACCATATAAATAGTATTTTTTTTCTCGATCTGGGTACAAAAAGATTGAATGCAGGTATCATTTGACTGGAGAAGTTTCCATACTACTTTGTACTGGGTTATTTCGTTCCATACCTGCATGTGTTTTCAGGTATTCTGGCTGATTAGGACTCTACTTGGGATGGAGTTAGGCAGTGCTGTGCTCGCAATTAAGTGAGATAACCAAACGGCATACAATTTCATAAAGATTAGAAAGGGTAAAGGGGAATTGGAAATGTACTCCAATGTTTTCAGAATTAAGAAGCTGTGGGGTTGTTAGCCAGCTAGCCCCCACAGACCGCTGCAGGAGAGGTCTAATCAGCCAGCATGTATTAAAAGTGATCATTTACATGACCCATTCCTTATCATTAATTTAACAGATTAATCAACGGTAAATTCATTATCAAACTAACTGAATTATCGATATTAACCAACAAGTTACAGCAGAATATACTGGACTTATACTGGACGATGTCTGCCTTTTGTCTTTTATTGTGAAACATTGTGGGATGTCTGATCTAGACAGCCGCTGCTGTGTGCTTTTTACTTTCTTTCAAACATAGGCAGACAGCTTTCAGGTAATATTTCACAATAACAAACATAAACAAACCAAATTTAACAAAACTCTCAAGTAATACCTCAGACAAAGTGTCATACTGGATCACGCTGCCCTGCTTAACGTGAAGATTTATGACAGGCCAGCAACCAGTGACTCTGAAGGTAACAGGGGTAGGGCTTACTGTAACTGGTCTTAATAAAAATGAGTCACAAACATGGTATGTACGTTTCATCTGATAATAATGATGTTGGCGGCACAACCATTGTCAAGTTATGGGAGAAACATTTATATTATGACTTGATTAATTATGTGCATAGCCAATGGTTTGTGTTTTATGACGTGTTTGAGGGCATCATAGTGACGAGATGACCTGCCTGAAGCTATAATAAAACTAGATGACAATAAGGCAGGTGGAACTGATCACAATACTGCTCAACATATATGATGGAAAAACCTGTTCTTCCTTTTTCCACCAGATTTACTGGGTTTCTAGTTCATACCATTCTACCTGACTCTCTGTGCTTTTGGTTCCTGTTATACAAATAAAACATACACTGCCATGCAAAGGCAAAGGGAGGAAAGGAAAAATTCTGGTCTAAAGTGAGTTATTGTCATATTTGGAACATTAAAGATCTTTTTTCATGTGGACAAATGTCTTGAGTCAATTTTGTTGTTTTTTAGAGAAAATCTGTAGATCAAAGTGACGTTACTTGGATCACTATTCAAATATGAATGTATTTGACCTACCAGAAAGATACAGCAAATACTATGCAGTAGCATACGGGCCCACAGCAGTCCAGGGCCCATAACAGACCACTAGTATCTGCACCTCTGCTATAATCTTGACTGACATTAGTTGAACCGACATCATATGCCAATCAATTTACAATTCAATCAATCAAAATATGCGATAGTAGTCAGTGAGCTAACCCCCTGATTGTATAATAATCAATCTACACAGTTGTGTTTTGTGTTTATAATGCCTGAAATGCATGAAACCTTTTGTCAGTAATATCAATGTGGTGCAACGTCACTGATCATCATTTTTCATGTGTCCCTGTGTTTCGTCACTAATGGGATCATGGTTTCATATGTGTGAGGTGCGTTTTAATCTCTATAAAGACAACTAAATGAATTCTTTTTTTTATATTTAGATTATTATTTAAGACCCTGAACACAAGCTATCACTTTCAGTTTCTGCTGAACAACCTCACCCGGCATTAGAAAAGGGAGAAGAAAACACTATTTGTTGAAAAAAAAGCCTATGAAGCATATATGATTGTTAAAACAAACAAAAAAAGAAAAGAAAATACATAATACAGATGAAGAATTGTATAAGTTACTAAAAAAATCAGGAAAACAAAAATATTTACAGGAAATAAAAAAAATATTCACAAATGTCCTGCTGTAATTGCATCCACTGTTTGGGTTCATAGTTTATCAGAGGTCATCAGTTTATTCAATGAAAAAGGTTTGGAACCACTGTTCTATAGCACGGCTATCTGTTTTCATTTAATTTAGGTGTCAGCTGTGCAGCTGTATTCACTTCTTTAATTTTCCACTGACATTACATCATCGTGTCTGATTGTAATAGGAAGGCCCACTTTAATCATCTTGCATTGGGGCCCGGTGCTGCCTCGTTACGCAGCCACTACTAGTTTAATTACATGTAGTTCACTACTACTGAGTTGGTAATGCACCTTCGTGACCTTCAAATATATATTTTTTATATAAATAAATGATATAGAATCATTTCAGATAGTGATCAATTAAATTGAAGTTAATGCCTTGGCAGGACCCCTTATTATTGTGCAGACATTGCAAAGGCGGAGTACCTTAAATTCCGAATAAGGGTCAAAGGTCAAGTTTTTAACACTCCAATTTTTTAACATTTTTATGAAGAGAAATGACTTAAACAAAGAACTGCCACACATACAACATTCTGCCTACAAATAATTTGGCTGGACAGCAAAACTTTAACGTAATTCTTTCTGATTTATTGCTGATGACTGGGGCATTTAAACGATGCTCAGTTAATTTCAGGTGTCAAGAAAATATTTCCCACATCATCGTGCCGCCACCAACAGCCTGAGCCGACACAAAGCAGGATGAATCCACACAGCCGAAATAAAACACTGTATCAATTTTTGTGTTTAAAACCCCAACCCATTTGATAGCAGGGCTGTAAACGTGTAAAAGTAAACTGAGGGATATGATGTTGGATGTTACAGGGACTGTAATATATACAAATGCAGATCCCACTGTTCTGGTTGAATAAAAAAAAACACTTTTTGACTTTATGCATATGGTGGTGTTTTCCAAAATTGCAATATATGGCCATATATTGAATCGCATCGCCATATCCTTGCCAATACACAAGCCTACTTAGATACTTGTTCATTATTCCTCCATGTTCAAATGCTTTTTAATCAAATCAAACATGAAACACTTACTCATCTAAAGAAGTCTGTAAGAGGAGCTTATAAATATCTGCTCAGTATGTGAGGTAGTGGTAACACATGCTTTTTGTGTCAGTAATGGGGTAGGCAGGGAGCAGTATTATAAGACCACTGAGCATTTTGGACCGCAAGCCTTTTGGTATTGCTGTTTATTTTTTTCTTGCTTCTCTCTTTCTTTCTGACTGTTTTTCTTTCTTTCTTCTTGCAACTGAAACTGTCTTCAATAAAAAAGTCAAAAAAATTGCACAGCAGTACGTTTTAGTATGTGTCTACTGAAACATGGGGACAGTTCTCCTGATGGTGGCGCTATAGCAAATGTCTAAATACAGTGAAATACAGTTGTATTCTGACCTGCGGTGCCAGAAACATGAGAGTGGGAAGATCCAGCAGACACATCAGCTCTTTCCAGGGCGCCTCCCTGCAGGGGGGTAGCAGGGTGGGGGCCGGCCGGCCGCTCAGGGACAAGTTTAGGCCCTCAGCTACCAGCATCTCCAGGTACAAAGATACCTGGGACACCCTAAAGACCCAGTCCTCCAGACAGGAAACATCACAACCTCCCTGATCTGAGGAGTAAAACAAGGAGAGGAGAGGAGGGGGGAGGAGAGGAGAGGGGAGGGGAGGAGAGGAGAGGGGAGGAGAGGAGAGTCAATAGTCACATTTCCTTACTATAAATATACTAAAAAACCTTCGAATCACCTGTTTACCTGAGGGTTTGAGTTCAGAACACATCTGCTCAGCCAGGAGTTTAACACCCAGGGAGCCATCACCCATTCTCTCTGGCTTCCAGCCCTGCAGACGCCCTCTGTGGACCAGAATCTGAACTACAGCCGAAATCAGGTCCTTAAGGAACTATGGAGAAAGGGAAAAGAGCCAGAGTAGGGTGTCAGAAAGGAGAGACGGAAGAAGCAGAGGTGAAAGGGAAAAAAGGGTTGTGACAAGTAGTAGAAGAGAAAATCCACATAAACTGATACAGTATTCCAATTTCCCTCTACTCACCTCTGCTACCTGCTCACATGTGACAACCGCTGCTGGACCCCCTCCATGCTGAGACATGGCCAGGACTAGAGGAGCCCGTTCTTCCGCAGTACCTCGCAGGGTGTCCGCTAGGAAGATGACCAATTGCTCTCGACCTACTCCAGAGGTGGAAGTGGAAGTGGAGGTGCTGGACTTCACAGAGGCCGCGGGCGCCGCCAGTCCAGGGTCGATACCACACATGCACTGGTAGACCCTCCTCACCATGGAGTCTGGTGCCAGGCTGCCCATCGAGGACTGAGCGAGACAAAAAGAGGAGTTAAACAAACTGGCAGACGCTGCCTTTCCCTGACGGATGTACTGGTAGAATATACAGGACAGAGGGACGTGCTCAGTGAAACAAGAGCATAAAATACAGTCAGAGTCTAAGAAACAAAGCATATTTCTGAGTGAAAATAGTTGAATCTGGTTGTGCATTGAGTATTAATGTCTCATAGCTGCTAAACTGTTAGAATGACACCTGTATACAGTCTATATACTAGTTATACCTGCAGCATCTCAAGTGTTAGAGTCTTCCCTGCCGATGTTTTCCCTGAGGCTCCTGAAGGGCCCCCAGCACCGCCCTGGAGCCTGTCGAAGACCCCCTCAACCGCGGACCGCTCCTCGGGACGGAAGCGGGCCAGCCGCTTCTGCGCCACCACACACTCTGTATTACCCATGGTGTTCTGCAACCCAACACAAAGCAGAACACACACATCAAGGTCATTATGTTTAGTTGGGTACAATTAAAGGAAAAATCCACCCTAAACAGAAGACATACTGTGACGTATTGATTTCAGACGGTATATTAATATATCGTATTGTTTCTTAATAAGATGTGGCTACTTATAATGGATTTTATATTGGGAGAACTTAAAATGATGGTATAACGATCAGTTTTGGAGTTTAACACTCTTTGTAGGCCATTAAAAGCTTGACATATTTTAATCATATTAGTTCCAACTGAATTTAGCAATTGCAGAAGTAAAAGTTCTCAAAGTTTCCTGTCATCTTTTATTTATTCATTATTCAGTGTCTATAAATGGTTCCCTTACTGGCATATCACTCCTTAAAATAAAGCAATATCTACTTGTGATCCCTCATAATGGGTTATTGCCTTAGTGTGAACTTATCTTCTCCAATAGTTTGACTATAGATGAAGGGGGAAAGATTGTCAGTATTTAAAAGTAGGACAAATATTTTCAAGGTCATATATATGAGATTTAGAACATCCTATAGCAGCAAACAACTATTTGCTGTGTAAAGATATAGGGGAGTTAGTGCATGTGAGTCTCTCTGTGTGCAACGGTTGGCTTTTTGAGACTGAAGCTGCTGTTTTCCTCGTCTTCGTAAGTGGATTAAGGATTTATTTTGACCAACCCAGAGCTGGAGATTGTTAGAAAAACTGTGGAAAAACTAATGAAGATGGTTTTGGTAAGTTTCATTTTGCATCTGTTTTGAATTAAGTGTGTTTTACAATTAACTGCAAGGTTATATGACATGGCATAGTGATAGCGATATAAAAGCTGTTTCTAGTTAAACAAAAAGTCTATTGCTAGAGGGATCCTTTCCATAATGTTGTCAGACACTTAGAATTACAATCTGTTAGTTAGGGCTATGTATTGGCAAGAATCTGGCGATACAATATGTATCATGGTACAGGGGTTATGGTTTAATATACTGCGATACTTTAAACTAGACAATATATATTGCAATTTACAACCAGAGCAGTGGGATCTGTATATGTATTTATAACAGTCACTGTAACATCCAACATCACAGCCCTCAGTTTGTTTATAACATTGCTTTCTAGCAGTTGGGGGTTTAAACACAATATTTTTCTATATTTTCTTACACCCATTCTGTTGCTGTTAATTAATTAATTTACATGACTATTTCGTAGGTATTTTCTCATCTAGCTGTGTTAGTGTTGGTGATTGTTGGAACAGTAGAAAGACTTACAGAGGTGGTTTTGGTATGGTTGCACGATGGGAATTTTATTTCAGCCCATACGATAACCGATAATTACCTGCTCCTCGTGGCCGATACCGATAAGATAACCTATGATTTCGCATTTTTGTATTTTAAAAAGAAGTTCATAACCTGCAGTTTTTACACACCTGAGGGTAAGAAAGGCTAAGATGTAGTGAGCAAAGATGGATGATTTAATATTCCATAGCTCTGCTCTGATCAAATCGGACATCACTATTGTTAATGCAACAAAAACAACAATTCTGATCCATCAAATGTTTTTTTATTTTTTCAAATTTCAAATTCCAAATAATTGATGATGAATCAAAATGATTATTAACATAAACCAATAATTTATCGGCTGTAATTTAATTATCCCCAAAAATTTGTAATAATGTAAATTCCCCATTATTGGCCAATAATTTATCTGTCCTGATAATTATCGTGCATCCCTAGGTTTTGGTGAGTTGTATTGTTTTTCTGTCAAATTTGAATTAAGTGTGTTTTATGATCTGGAAGATAAAATGAGTGTTTTGCCATGGAAGTCTGGTCAGCCATAGCACTCGCATTTATTTTGGTCTGGCGCTCTAGTGCAACATTTAGTCTGAAAGCTGTATACTACCCCTTTAATCAATTAATTTATATATTTTTTGTGTATAATTTTGTGTATCAATGTCTCTTTTTTCTTTTTAATTCTTGTGACCCCCTTAGAAGTATCTTCTGACCCCCTAGATGGTCCCAACCCACAGATTAGGAACCAAAGCTTCAGCATCTGTTTCACTGTCTGTGTGCTTCAGCTCACTTGTTACAATAAAAATATAATAGAATAATAATAATGTAATTCTATAATATTACAGCCATAATTTATCAATTTTAGGGCTGATCCATATACAAAATACTGTATGGATACATCACAAATAAAGCAATAACAAATGCATGGTTTGGTATGGATCGATTCCACTGCAGCAAAACAACAACTTTCATAGTCTTTCACGACCAAAAGATATATAGGACATAACGTTGGAACAATATGGGATATTAAACTGATTGTTTTAAATGATATGTGTTTCTGTTTCCTATGTTTCGTTAAATGACTTAACAGTCATGTTATATGCCATGTAGAATGATATATAGTGATATAGTGATAGATGAAACATTAAAATCAGTATTTAATAATACAGCTTTTTATCTTGGACGTTGGATGGTTAGCTCACGCTAGCTAGCACAGCATTACTTCACTCGTATCCCATAAATGATTATAAACGAAATACTTAAGGTGAATATATGCGTGCATGATGTTCTCAAAGCTAGGTAACTTCAAAACGAGCACTAAATATGACTGTGTGCCGCTGACCTTTTAAAGAAGAGCAGCTAAGCTTTCCATCCTGCAGCTACTGTAGTAACAGCGAAATGTAAACTTCCTGGTGATGATAAAGATGACGCTCATGGCAGCCAATCAAATGAGCCAAATGTTCACCTGTCTCATTGTGATTGGTCCGCGGTGTCAGGAGGCGGGGAGAACTGGCTGTCAGGGGTATGTTCAGCGTCACACTGGCTCGGTATTCTTTTAGTATTTATAGCTAAAACACTAATTTGCTTATTATTTTGACCACATTCTATATTCACAAATCCAACTTTTGAAGCAAAACGTAAAAGTTCAATGTCCATATAAAAAATATTTCTTCTATATCTAAATGTGCAAACAAACAGCTGTTAAAATCTACAACCACTGTAATCTTTAAAATTGTATTATATGTTATATTTTTTTATTGCCTTTAGGTTCCCTGGCTTATTTGTGATTATAGACCCAAGCTGTATACACAAGCCTATTTGTTTCATTGTTTTTTTTTAATAGCATAAAGACCCAGTTTGTATTACTGACAAATATAAATCAATTGTCTGTATCTTTCTACCTAACACCATAATACTGCATTATTAAAACACAAAGTGCAGTGAAGACAGCCATCCATCTTTAAAAACATATACTCAGTAACAACAGGCTCATAGCAATGAGTATATAGTATATATGGCATGTGGTAATAATAAAGATAAGGAACATCTTATCTTATCTTAACGGCCAAAATGGATGCGTCTTGCATTAATACTTGAAATTATGATTAAGAGATGATAAAAATGGCAAATCTTGTGTTTCCAACTCGTTACTAAAGTACTAGCACTGTTATTGTCAAAGATTTGAAATAACATTATAAAATACATTTTTATAGTAAAAGTAAAAGGGACAAAATGGATGTAAACAGACCAATTATAAACAGAAAAACTACATGTAAGAATGCACAAAAGCCAAGTAATTTACAACAGCATGAGGAGGAAATGCAATTTCATGGTCCTATCCCATCTTTGACCAGTAGAGTCCGCACAGGAGCAAGCATAGAGAGCCAGAGCCCTCTGCAGAAACAGTAGGCAGTTGAAAAACGCCTTTTAAGGGCATGAGTCTTACTGTGTGAGTGCACTGAACTGAGGGTGTGTTGCATTGTAATGAAGTCTTGTAGGACAGGGGATGCACCCACGTCGGCGCAGCTGAACGTGTAGGTGACGTGCAGCCATCTGCCCCACACCAAGTAAACAGAGTGTTGTAAACAGGATGATGAATCAGTGTGTGCAACATTAGATCAACCACAGTGCTAAAAAAATAATTTCTTAACCCAAGTGTAGTGCATTCACTGTAAAAAGTCTTTCAAAAAGTTGATAGCTGGGACATTATTCTGAATGAATGGATGAAGTTGACCTAGCCAGCCACTGAAGCATTTAATTCTTATGTAAATAGAGGATATCCTGTAGGTAAATAATAAAAAACGGGTATTAAGTTTAACCTGAATTATTTAGAGGGCAAAGAGTTAAGTATGATGCAAGGTGTGCAAAGTTCAGCGTTATATTTTTTCCTGAATTCAAACAGAGGCCTACTGGCAGTATTTTGAAAGGACTTAATATAATCTCTAGCACAAGCAACACATTTGTTCTTGGTTTCATTAAAACACATAATTTACTAAATCAGCTGATGTGGAGAGGGATTCAAAATAAGACACTTTTTGTTTTGTTCCATTACAATCTGCTGAAACTGAGAAAGCGAGTCCAAATGTATCAGAAAGAACTGCACATAAATTCAGCTGCTGTGGCTTCTAGTTCCAGTTTACACTCACCCAGAATGAATCAAGTGAGTGTTCACTTCCTTTATACACTCATGCAGACCATAAATGGTTTCAAACAAATTGATAACACCAGACAAGGTTATCTGTGTGCTGAACAGTGGCCACAAATGGAATCCATAAACCTGATTGCTTATCAGATTCCCAAACACTGCACAGTAGTTTATAATGCTTGACAGGATTTTACAGCTGTGAAAGGGTACCACACTGGGAATCAATCAGTTCATCTTCTGGGGTGGCCAGCCATCTTTAAGGGTTGGCCACAGCGTTCACACATTACATCTACATCTACCAGAAAACATGTTAACAGTTGGAAAACCTATAGGTGTAATCAGACCAGTTTGTAATTTGTCTATATCATCTGTCACTATTTCTTCTGCCTCACTGGTGTTTCAAGCAGGTATAGACACAACCAGGTGATGCACATGGCTCACTGTTATATGACCATGTATACGCAATGTTCCAATAAAAAGAGAAACTTGGCGTGGTTGCTATGAACTGTGAGCTGAACTGTGTTCCCTCCATACTGATTCAGCTGTCAACAAGTTGCGACTTGAGAAGTGAGTCGTGGTAGTTCTTCTTTTCTCTTCCCTTTGCCCACTAACCCTCCTCTCGGTTGCATCCCTATATGGTAAAAGCCTTACTGCTGACGTAGTGCACAGGAAACCCACTGTTTGAATACCAAATTAAAAAAAAAGAAGAAGAAAAAAGCCACACGCCACACTCACACGTTGATAGACTGCACTTGTCACCGGACTTCAAATCGTTCTCTTGTATCCATTTCAAGAAAAGCTCTGTGCTTGCTTGACACATATAATTGCTGTCACTTGTACTTTCTGTATTTTGTCTGTCCTCAGTTCACAAGCAGTGATTATGAACACAACCCCATTCAATGTTCATTCATTTTAAAAAAACTTCTTGCATTGAAAACTAAGCCAAAGCATTTTTCTTTGATATACATGACATATTAGGCCAGTCATAAGGACAACTGTGTGTTTCCTGGGTCTCAAAATAAAACATGAATGAGATCCCGTAGACTCTTCTCCTGCGCCCGAGTGCTTTGCATAAGTGTGCTGAAGGATTTCAATAAGGCGGGCACTCCTCTGACTCTGAGACATTTTTGTTTTTTTCGTAGAAAACCTGACTACTTCCTCTGCGTGTGAGCATGCACCGAAATGTACCAGCTTGGGCTGCAGCTGAGCTTCATCTTTGAAACCCTGCAATAAAAATTTCATTTATTGTCATGTGGTTTCTTGGTAGATTTTGAGTAATCCTTAAAAAGTCATATACTCTTTCTACCTCATTAAAAATCACAGAATCTCTGAATATGCAAATGTTGTTGATTTCTAAAGTTTTCCTGTTGGACACAAGATGTCTCCTCCTTCATTGTAAAGTCCATTCTCTGTGGATGTGCACCACTGACAGTATATATAATGGACAGAGCTTCTGGGTCTGTGAAGTGAAGCTGACGCAGAAGTGTCTTGTTAAGCCTTCTATGTAATGGCCAGCATGGTGCTGCTCTATTGGCTGCGATAACTCACTGATGCCATGCAGTCTTATGGGGAAATGAGCCTACTTCTCGCTTGATTTATGTGCTCACTAACCAGTTTTCTTATGAGTTTCTGGTCTCAATCTCTAGTTTCAGTCTTCTTCCATAGAGCATGATGTTCATTTAGTAAATGATGGCTCCATTTAGAGTAAAATAGACCATAAAGCAGGGTATGCTTTAGGGCGGGGCTACCTTTTTATTGACAGGTCATTCTTACTAAGTCTGTCTAGCTCAACGCACCAAACTCAGATCAAACTGTCAAACTAGGCAGTGCTGATCAGATATGAATCCAGATTCTGTTACTGCGTTTCCTATTTCTCCCCCAAATATTTTTTCAGAAACATATATTTTAGTGCAGGTTCACACTGATGGCTTCAAGTTTCTATATCACACTGTAGAAGTTGCATACTGGACCAGGATTGACATGAACACTTATCAGGAATCATATCTCTTCCTGTCAGCTGCAGTGAAAGACAACTTTCTCATTCTGATTCCTGTGAAATAATCCAAGATGTCATCACATCTTTCATGTAGATGCCGGGGCTTCTGCTCGTCAGTCTGACTATAAGGTGCAGCCTTGTGACACAGACCTGTTACAGAAGGCAGCCCAGGTACACCCATGAGGTAATGGAGCTGAGATGTTTCAGATGTCAGATAAGTTATTAGTCTGACATTTGTTTAGCCGGGTGAAAACGCTTTTAAAATCTGGAGGCAAACATGTAAGTTAGCCTGAAAATGCAAAAATGATATCAAATTAGGGTTCTCAAAAGTAATTACTGCGTCAGTTTGAACTAAACAATGCTTTTCCTGTTGTGGTCCGAACTCCTGGCTGGCTCTGGCAGACTCACAAGTTCACCCTTGTTTGTCTTAGTATCACTCTCATGCACTGGTGCACTCATTTTTATGTATTTTAATGCTATGCTACTTTTATGCTATACACATGGGTGACAATTTAAAGGAACCAACACAAACCTCCCAGTCTCTGGAACCCTCTCCATTCTCCCAGAAGTATTCAACTGATTCACATCAACTTCATTCTTACCAAACCATTCAATGACCCCTCATGGTCCTGTGTGAAAGCATCTGCATTTGTCATGTTTCTCCATTCATTCATTCAGGTTTTTCCTTTTAAATTAAAAGTTTGGGAACCCCTGCATTAACTCAAAATGTCTGCTGTGAGAAAGGCCCGCTGCTTGTCTGCTTAGACATTTTACAGTAGCCTACAGTACTGAGCTATTGCTGTTTGAGGACAAAGTGGAAAAAGTAAGCTAGTAGAGAATCTACAACAAACTAAAGTGCTGCTGGATAACATTTTTACACACTTAGATAAAAGGTATTCGTGTGTATTCAGTTTGAGTTCCTTCATGTAACAACAGGCCCAACATCATGAATCAGAGTGATGGTAGCCATAGCTTACAGATCAGTGCCTGATTCCTCAGACAGCCCTCCAGTTGACCCATGTCTTGATCTACAAAGATATTACTAAAACTGGACTTGGAGTCATTCAGAGTGTCATTAAATGCACAATCACTCTCATTCTTATTATAAAGATCTGTGCACAGAGGCAGTTGACCTTTCACAGTAACCTCATGGCTACAGAGACACTGCAACGTGCCAATTGAGCAGGTTCAATAAATGAATAACTATTTTACTGCTCATCACCGATCCATGCAGAGCACAGAGTTATAGTTTAATTAAAACAAG